GTTTTGAAGCCAGAGATGAGCTCTACAAATTCAATTATGAGGTATCAGTATATTATTAAGCCCAGTTTGCCAGAAACAGCAGAACTTTGGGGAGAGAACAGAGTTTTGTCTGTCTGTTCTTGTAAATCGAATATCTCAAGAAGAATGAGAGATACAGACTTGAAATTTTACAGGTATATGTAAAAATAGTAGTTGAACAACTGTTATTAAGAGATAAATGGTTGGTAACTTAATAAAATGTTCCGTAAATTGAGAAAAACTTAAAAATTATTGTGACGAAATTTTGTGTACAGATGATGAGCAGAAAGAGTCTGATGAATATACTTATTATTAAAATTTTTAATTTATATATAAAAATAAAATCAGATTATTTCTCTTAGTTTTTCCGGAATATATTTTATTATTAAAATTTTCTAATTCTAATATAAAATGTTTTTGGAATACTTTCAGAATACTTTTTGTAACAAAAATTTATACAATATTTTAAGATCCTTAATTGGAATATAATCAGAATATTACTAAAATATCTAATTAAAATCAGAATATAATGGCTAAAATTTTTTATAGGGATATTCAAAAAACAACCAATCAGATTACACTTCTATATACACAAAAAACTGTACAACAAAGGTGATTTGTTGATATAAATCCATTATTGGTTATGCTTCATATCATGTTAATAATTACAAGCCTTGAATATGACTATGAAATCAAATTCATTTACTATAATTTTTACATTTTGACCTTTGATTATCATTCAATCTACTTGGCAAAAAAAGTGTAAAAAAAAAACAAAAAGATGTAAAAAATCGATAAACATTTGTTTACAAATTAAAACAACCATTTAAAAATAATAAATATAGTTAAAATTGTTGTATCAAATACTTAGCAATTAATACCCCAATTTCTGGTATCTATATGTAGTATCTATAAACAAACAAACAAACAAATGAATGAACAAATGAACAACTAAATGTATGAATGAATGAATAAATGAATATACATGTAGTAGTAATAAAGTATATATGAAAAAGGAGAAAGTAGATTTTTCCTTTTATATAATTACAAAGAAGTTGTTTTGACAATCATATATCCAAAATCAAATAGATACAACACAAGTACAACCAAAAATATCAATGTACTACAAACTATAAAGCTATAAAAGGCAAAAACAAACCAACAAAATTTAGTAGTAGTTAATGAGTACATCTATATAGTTAATAAGTGCATCTAATACTCCCATAAATAATCATCATTGTTGTTGATTAACGTTAATTAAAATTAGTCAAAAATAGCATTAAAGTAAGGGTAGGGTTTTAGAAAAATATATACCAAAATTTTGCAAGATTTTTTTTTGTTATAATGAATAAGATAGTTTCATATGCTAAATTTTAAGATATAAATGATTTTTAAATAAATAATTTGTTTTTTTAACTTTAATATTACACACTAATTGTTTGTGTAGTATCTATATAACTGATGTTGATTGGCTGGATACCAGATTTTGAAGCACATAGATGCACATATTATATAATTAATTAACATATATAGTTTACCACTTTAACATTTAAGATTTTACTTTCAGTTTATTTGCCAATAAACTATACTCTTACATTCCTGGTATATATGTACATAATTGTTTGTAAAGTAGCTGCATTATTATTGAAATTTTTTTTATTATTAGAAATATAATTATCATTATTTTTCCTTATTTATATAATAATGAAATCACTATCATTTCTGATTTATTATTTTTTTTTGTGAACTAGTCTCTATGGGGTTAAAGTTTTTATTTATATTATGGATGAGGAGGCTCATAGCAGAACCCTATTATATTAGAGAATACAACTAGCTATATATGCAATTTTGGTTGCTTATTTAAGTTTTTTACATATAGATAGTACATCATAGATTCTACACTAGCTGCTATACCTATAATCTGACTAGGGAATTATCTATTTAAACTCTCTGTAATGCAACTCACTTGTGTCACTGGTATATCTTTGTTATATTTATTAATTGAGAAGTCTCAGATGCTTTTCTATACTCTCAAGACTAATTTATCCTTAAGACATCATTGCTAGAGCTTTCTGTATCCACAATTTGGCTAACCTAGACTTTGATAACTTATGCTGAGTTCAAAGATAAGTACTTGCAAGCCAAAGCCATTACTGTTACCTACTTCTGTCCTTGTAAAGTTTACCCAAACCCAGCACCCACTATACAGATGTTCACTAACTTTTCTGATGCACTGGCGGTATTCCCAAACTCCCAATTCAGATAGCTCAGAAGAAACTTGCATTCTCTGGTATTCTGATGAATTCTTTTTCCTATATACACGTGGTCTGGTTGTTGTAGTGCTTTGCTAAATACTCAATCCTTGTTCAGTTTTGCTATTAGATCTGATTGCTGATGATCATTATTTACATAGTACTGTTAAAGATCTGTGCTATCTCTCTACTTGAAACTTATCAAGCGGGCTTCTATGTGCTCTGATCTTTTAGATTTACTCAAATACATTACTTGGGTTTTGTATAACTTTTGCATTATATTACTGTTCTGCATCCTCTCAGTATATGCTGGTATAACTAAAATTACAGGTGCTGACCTGTCAGATTATACACAGTCAGCTACAATATATTTGTAAAATTTGAATTTGGTTGTCAATAGGATTCAAACTCTTGTTTTGCTGCTTAGGGGTGTAACAGCTTACTAAATTTACTAAGTCACTACATTCTTATTATTTCTGATTTATTATTATACATATATATAATTACTAATAATTAAAATCAATCTAAAATTCAAAATTTGACAAATTTGTAATTGATGTACAACATTATTATTAACAAAAATTAATTATTATATGAAGTTAACTGTGTAATAAATTGTTACACCTTTTTGATTGGCAGCTGCTACCACTTCTTTGACTCAACTATTCACAACTCCTAATTATCTGCAACTCCTTCCACAACTTTTTTAACTCAACTACCCACAACAACTTCTTTGATCTAACTATCTATTACACATTTGACCCAACTATTTATTGGTATAGATTAAAATGAAATCTGATCAAAATGAAACTGAGAACCTCTCATAACCACTCTTAGAGCTAATAAAACCCACATATACTTATTTATTAATAATCCTAAACCTAAGCTCTACCCTTAATGCTAAAAAGAACCCCAAAAAATGTTTTCTAAAAAATTTTAAATTTTTTTTAAAAAACAGAAAAATTTTGTTTTGATCAGATTTTATTTTAATCTGTGATATTTATTACTTTACTATTTATCACTTTTTTGACTCAACTATTTATTAATCACTTTTTTGATCCAACCATCTATTACTTTTTTAACCTAATCATCCACTACTTTGATTTAACTATCTACTACTTCAACCCAACCATCTACTACTTTAACCACCATTTCAACCATACAATCTACTACTTTGACCACTTCTTTGACCAAACAATTCACTACTTTGACCAGATAATCTTCCACTTCAACCACCCCTTCGACTAGACAATTCACTACTTCAACCAAACAATTCACCATATTGACTAGACAATCAACCACTTCAAACAGACAATCAAGCACTTCAACTACTCCTTTAACCTAACTATCTATTACTTTGACAACCTCTTTTTACTACTAGGATCAGCTAAGAACTTTTTTATTATATACTATAGAATGCTATAATATTACTATATAATTGAATATATACTTTTATGTAATACAATGCAAAAAAATTATTTTGCGTTATTATCCAATCGGAGAACTTAAAATGTGATTATCCAAATCAGTCTCACACGTGAGTAAAGTGAAGGAAAAAAATGAAAAGTGAAAATACAAGAAACCAAATGTTTAAACCTGCCTGGAGAACTAATTATAAATATTTATTTCTATAGTATCTGTTTTAACTTTAAATTTTATTTCATAAACTTAGTTATTTTTATGTTGAATTTCCTTTTTGAATTTGTATCACTTATATATATATGCATTTTTCCCAAGAAAACATATAGTATTGGGTAGTGATGCTTGATGAAATTGATTTTATTAGTAGACGAAATTAAACCTGACGAAATGATGAAATTTTTGCTGAAATTATTTTGATCTATAATTATTAGTGACAAAATTGATTTTGAATTAGAATATTATTCTTAGAAGTATACTGTCTAAGTTTATAAAAAAAATTCCTGGTGTTTATATAAAATTTTTGGCACAATTACAAAATGATGAAACTATTCGTCAATTCAAGGTTTACTTAGTAAAATATTGAGAAAAGTGCAATTGTTTTTAGAGAAAATTTGGTACAAGTGATTGTTGGGAAGAGTTAGTGA